CTTTGCCGAGCTGAATGCGCACTTTCATCTGGTTTGGTTTGCCGCGGTTTCCGTAGACTCGTGTGGACTTTTATGGACCTTTCTGTCTCGGGCACCACAGACCTCTATTATTTGAATGTCAGCAGACAGCAAGAAGCCTCCCAGATCTCCAGATGCATTTGAGATATTAAAAAAGTACTCCAGAGTATTGTTCAGCATGGGGGTGAGTAGAAAATGAAGGCTAATCATGTTTTGGGTGTACTATTCCTTTAAAAACAGTGTTAACATTTAATATTTTCAAATATCAATGCAGTCTTACTACCAAAACAAACTGTATATGTTTTTGAATCGGATCCATCAGAAATTTAGGTCGTAGGATGTCTGTAGCATTTGCAATATATTAAAGTTAACATGGCTATCAAACTGCTTGTGATTCTCTGCAACTATATAGGTATAGTTCTGACTGAGGTACTCTAGACCGTTTGTCCATTTTGGTTGAAACTACTCAGCATTTCGATCTCAGAGTCTGACAGGAAGAGAGACATGACAGGAAAGTAGGCTGCATCAGATAATGGTTGACTTCAGAAGATACGGGAACAAGTTGAATCCTATTAACCTGATGGGAGAAGAACTGGAAGTAATGGAGGAGTATAAATACCTTGGTATTCACCCAGACAACAAACTAGACTGGGGACACAACTGTGAAGCCATCTACAAGAAGGAAGCGAGCCAACTGTATTTCCCAAGGAAGCTTAGCTCCTTCACTGTTTCCAGCAAGATTCTCCATATCTTCTATAAGTCTGCTGTGGAGAGTGTGATCTCTTCTTCAATCATCTGCTTTGGTAACAGCATAGAGCAAATCACCTAAAAAAGCTGAACTATCTAACTAAGAAGGCCAGCTCCTTTCTAGGAACTCCTCTAGAACCTCTGGAGATTATTTAACAAAGAAGAATTTCCGAAAAGTGTAGAAAATTATGGACAACAGTGAGCATCCTCTTCAGAAGATTGTTGAACAACAAGATAGTGTCTTCAGTCAGAGGCTTCTCCAGATCCGGTGCAAGACAGACAGCTACAGAAGAACCTTCCTGCTTACAGCTATCAACACCAAGAAAATATGTTTTTTTTTTTTTTTTAATGTATACTGCAACATTTCATTTCCTTTTTCGGATTATTAAAGTATTTCTGGACTAAATTTAATCTAGTTTTGGTAAATAGAAACTAAATAAGTAAGATTGGTCCCCACAAGTTCGGCTAGAAACACACGGCAAAAAAGTTTTTCTTTGTATGGTAGGCTGGGCAAACCTGGACACACAATCTATAAAACATTAACCGTGTATTTACCCACTGTAGGAGAATGGAAGTAGAGAAAAGAAAGTGAAACTGGGATCTTCTCTCAGCTTTTTCAAGCAGCAGCTGCAGATATAAGTTTACTGTCCAGTGGTCTGCATAGGGACCATCTATGCAGGCACTGAAAAAAATGGATCAAAGCATGAATGATGGGATGCAAATGTGTGTCTTGGGCTTTATTTGAAAACTAAGCAAAGAGCTTGAAGAAGACAGTCTAAATAACATTGATCGTACTATTCTGAGACACAAAAAAACTACTAAATAAGTGGGAAATGTCTAAAAGAAATCTAAATAAAAAATGGAATTTGCAAAGAACGCCAGAATTTAGTAAGAAACTAAGCACAAACAAATGACGTAATCTGACAGCCTCTCAGAAACAGTGGAGAGAATAGAGAAATTAGCAAGATATGGCAAGAACATTAGAACAGGACACTCAAAAAATGGAAAGATTAAAACTCATAAGAAAACCCAAACACCAGTGGAGTATGTCAGAAGCTACTATGAAATATTTGTCATCAATATTGTCTATGAAATAATTCTTAGGTAAATGCCTTGAGGCAAATATTGAAACAAATTCAAAGCAATTAAAGTAATTTTAGAAAACGAACAAATTCATCAGTGTGGTTTGATCAGTTAAATGCCTACTTTCCTTTTTACTGCGAAGTATAACAGGGCTCATGAGATGACTTGATTTTCTTAATCACCTCTCTAAATTTCATTCATATTCCATGTGGAAAGTGTTGCTTCTCTCCTGTTGGGGATTATAAGTCAACACCATGAATCGTAGCACTCCATTTCGGATTAGTTCCCATCTTTAGTTAAATATAGTTTGTTTATAGTTGTTTTTCTCAAACATTGTAGGAAGATTGTCTAACAAAAAAAATCAAGGCAATGCATTGGGTCCCCTTAGATAATGATATATTTAGGTATCATTATACAATGTGGCACAATCTAAAACTGTTTATTAAAAAGTCAGAGGAAGCAAAACAGTTCCATTGAATCAGAGCGTGTTGCTGGGACATCTGACTCCTTTATAAAGACCTGTGGCTGTGATTATGAAACTATGTGTTACTGAGCAAGTCAGGTTTCTCCAGATAGAAGCATCAAGGGATGTTTACCTTTCCCACGTCTTTATGAAACCCCAAACTCATGTTCACCCACGGCAACAAGGCGACTGCTGTTACCAAAGCGACCAGACACATCACACAGCTTTTAGTGGCAGCGGTGTTGCCATGGCAGCCATCACAGGTTGTCTCTCCAATCAACAGAGATGAGCAGGGATAACCTGCTGGTCTGCTGAAATGAATTCATGGTCACGTGATTTCTTTGATTATGAAGGCTCAAGCACATAATAACATGCTTACCCAAACCTCTTCAGAGCTGACTTTATGATCTAAGATTAAAATGTATCTACAAAATAAAACTACACATTTTTCAAACACACTTAAATAATTAAATGAGTCCTAAAAATCCTATGTGTCAAAGTGGTTGAGCTTGATGGTTAACTGACAGGATATATTTTTTATCTCCACCAAATGATCACTGACTTTCTTCAAAATTGATGCTGAATTCTCTTTGATATTGATGTGATGTTATCAATAACCATAGGTCAGTGTACCTTAGATAACCAAGAGAAGATCCCATGGAAATCAAAAAATTTGGAATTTATCAAATCACAACATCTGGTCTGCAGAAGGATTGTGGATTTACTTAACAATGGAGCATGTTTGATTCAGTCTTGAAAATATTAAAATCTTTAAGGATGAAATGTGGATAACTGTCGCTGCCGCATATGTGGTGGTGAATATCCCAGAGTGAAATATGTTGGTGGAGATGTTGCTTTACAGAAGGGACAGGGCCGCTGCTAGTAGTTAATAGGCTATAGAACCATACTTTAAAGAAGCTTTGAAGAACTTTCAGCTTTGGTCAATTTTAGATCCCCCAAGTGGAGAAAAGCTGTATTGTTTTGCCTGAAGGAAGACAGCATTTCCAATGAGAACCAGTAGCGTTGTAAAATCCTGATCTTTCAATCGCCTGCAATTGGATTGAACTACATTACTGTTTCCAATGGAAAATAGATGAAAAGCGATGAGGTATCTCTAATGTAATTGGGGTGAAACAATGTCATATGATGACGTTGAAAAGAAAAAATGTTTAACTCCTTGGTTTTGTACCATAGTTCTGCATTCACCCCCCCCCCCCACCCCCACCCCACCCAACCCAGCATATAACGTTATGTTTGATAATTTCACAGCAAACACATGTAGAGATCACAGCAGGAAGGTGCCACATTTCCTCAATATCGACCCTGCACAATTTGCACAAACATACAATCTCTCAAATTTAATCACATTGAGTTTTGTCTTTATAAATAAATGGGAAAAGTGGGAAGTGATGTATGCAATAAAGCAGTCTGCACATTTGTAGTTGTGTCGCAGAGTTACTGCCACTTAGGGTTAGTGTAAGTTAGTGTTGGTGAAAGCAATACAGACCCCATCTGGCCACGACAGAGGTGTCAATCAACTACTTGTAATTGGAAGTATAATCACAAAATATTTTTTGAAGGTTGAAAAGTTACTTAGTGAAGGTTTAAGGAAAATGTTTTTGAAAGTTAGTTCAGAGCTCAATTTGACTGAAAATCCAAGGCAAGGCTTCAAAATTGATGTTAGCAGATATGCTGAAAACTTAACTTTATAACCTTAAAATCAGCTTTAGTTTTAGAACAAAGGGTGTTTCTAAAAGCATTTGAAAGAGGGTGAATGTATTCAAAGCCTTATTAATGCAATTCATTGAGGCTAATTTATATTAAAAAAACTCTTGAAGATAATGTTAAAGATTTAAATAACCTACCTTTCATTAATATTTCTGTACTAAATCTCTTTTATTGGAAATACTCAACGGAAATGAGGCTTAAAGACATCATGCTATACAATGTGTTTCTTTTCGCAAAGTGGGTTTGAGAATTTATTTTAATAACAATCACTAATCATGTTTAATCCATTTTTTTGGGGGGGATTTAAAAACAGCAACCTAATTTCCCTTTTTGGTTTAAGAAGTTTTGTGGCTGTCTGTCTTACTTCTGATTTCTATATCTAAACATTACCGAAAACAACTGAAAACACATCTTTGTTTAGTTTAGTTCGGTTTGACTGTCGCATAACTTACAAAGGTCATGCCTGGAGTGTGGGGGTATGTCGCAATAAAATAAAAACAAGTTAAAGTGATATCATTTTATTTTTGCAAGACTAACTATGTTTCTTAGACAAAAGGATTTGGGAGAATTTTAAGAGATTTTACATGCCTTTATGTAACTTGAAATGAAAGCAAAGTTTGTTTTTTTTCCACATTTTTTATAATGCACGGTGATTAAACAAATGGCCTTTCTGCTTTGTCACTCACTACAAAGCGCCATGTTTCCGTGAAGGTTTTCTCGCCGACTCGTTGTACTGGGTGACTTTAGTTTAAGGCTGCTCCCCGGCATCTGGCTCTGAGTCATGAAAAACTGTGTTACGAGTCTTTGCATAACTGTGTGGGTGATATCTTGCGTTTTGATGTGTGTGTGAATGAGACAAGGAAGGATGATGATGTTAGAGAGTAGGTGTTTGTTTTTCTTATGCAATTTTTACAGTCAAACTCACTCAATGTGTGTGTTTGTATTTTTTTAATGCCCTCAGTGGTTAGTGCACAGGGTCTTCAGGCCAAGGACAGGACCGGCTCCAGTGATCCATATGTCACCATCCAGGTGGGAAAGACCAAGAAGAGAACAAAGACCATATATGGAAACCTGAACCCAGTTTGGGAGGAAAAGTTCAGCTTGTAAGTTCTTTTTTTTAACTTCATGGTTATGCTGCAAAATCTCTCTAAAGTAACAGTGAAAACCTGCAGAAAAAATATTTCTGCCTGTATGATCTTACTTAAAATCTATCACACTCCAAACCCACATAGGTGATATCATTTGGTTCAAACCTCTCTCATAGCTGTGTGGGTTAAGTAAAGATTATCCTGCTACCTTGGTTTTAAAACACCTTTTAATGGAACACAGATCCATCCACAGACAGGGCCGCTGGAAGTGATTTTGAACAGAGGCTGCTATGAAAAGATTTTTGGTATTTTTTGGACAAAAGACCTATGAGACTATAGAACTATTTAAAATACAATAAAAAAAAGTAAATAGATTGAGATCCACTACTTAATTGTCATATACACTTCAGTGCACGCAACCGGGGTCTGTAACACTCAGAGATCATCAGTTCTCAGGTGAATGTATGCGCTGTTAATTAAACTTCACATTAATACTATAACAACGTAGATTTGGTCAGCTGGCATGAACCCGAGTCACTGTTTATGTCACACATGACTCTATATTAAAAAAAAGTCTAATCAATCAAAACTTTCGCGACCCCCATGCAGTACCTCCATGGACCCCCTAGGGGTCGCAGATCCCCTGTTGAAGTCTTCCACTCTAAAATACTATGGTTATGTTAAACTGCACATATAGAAATGAAAGTGCGAGGCTGCACCATGCTCTCGCTTTGCGCTACAGACAGGGTGCCTTGCCTGATTAAAGGTGTCCAAATGTTCAGGTGCCCTCTGGGGTCGAGTGTAGGGCAGTTCTGGGGCTTCTCACACCAACTATTGAGCACATCTTTCCGCTGAAGGATCCTTATAAACCTTATACACAAGCACACTCATGCGCATACACTTCAGACGTTCTACATGTTTATGGATATAGAGTCAGGCTTAATACATTCCTGTACTTTCAAAAGGAGTCATTTCAATTTAATTCACCAATATTTAATCAAGCCCACAGGGAAATTACATGTTGAATTAACTCATGAGAACTGTTTTTAAAAGAGTTGTTATTAGTGTTGAACACTGTATGCAGAAAGGATCTTCTGTATCGTTTTGTCTTGACAACTTCAGATCTGGAGAAGCCTCTGACTAAAAAAATACATTGTTGTTGTTTAAAAATATTCTGAAGATGCTGCATTTGTTTCCCTATGCTTTACTTGGTGGAGAATTCTTTTTTGGAAAATCCTCTCCAGAGGTTCTAGAGGAGTTCTCAGAACAGAGTCTGCCTTCTTTATTAGCTTGTTGAGCTTCTTTCAGTCAGTTGTTCTGGGGCTGGTACCTCAGTAAATGATGGTAGAAGACATCATACTCTTCTAGGACGTAGACTTCCTTAGGAAGTACAGTCTGCTCTGTCCTTTCTTGTTGTCCGCTTCACCATTGCATCTACAGTGGAAAAATATACAGCTCTGATTCACATTACGTAATCTTGATAGGTTTCTCTTTCGATGTTTGTATAAATTATTCATTGCATTTCCATGGAATAGTCCCTGTTTTTTCGTGGTTGGTGTGTTGTGTTTTTTTTTTCTTGTCTTTCCTCTTGTTTCCTACATGGTAGGAAGCAGACTTCTAGAAGTTATTTTGTATTTTCTGTGTTTTGTTTTTGATTTCTCATTCATTCTCTTTCTCTCTGTCTCTGTGTAAATGTCTCTTTCTTCCCAATAATTCTTGTCCCCTCTCCCTTTCTAACTTCCATTTCTGTCTCCAAGTCCATTCCATGTGTTTTTCTCTGAATGCAACTTCTAATAAAGTTTCATACATAATTACCAGGGCTGAATGATGGCACAATTTGTACATCGCACTGTTCCTTTACAGCAAGAAGGTCCTGGGTTATATTCCTGGCCCAGGTTCATTCTACACTGAGTTAGTATTTTCCCCCCTTTGCATGCATGGGTTCTCTCCAGGTACCACAGCTTCATCCCACAGTCCAAAAGCATGACTGTGTGTGCATGATTCTTTGTCTCTGTATTACCCTGCAATGAACTGGTGATCTGTCCAGGGTGTATAGAGTCTTAAAACCAAAACATTTGTTTTATCTGCTGTACCAGCTAACTACAGAAATGCAATGACTGTTTAACAAACATATCCTCTCTTGATCTTACTGTATCTTCTGCCCTTGCAGTGAGTGCCACAATTCATCAGACAGGATCAAACTCAGAGTGTGGGATGAGGACGACGACATCAAGTCACGGGTAAAGCAGCGACTAAAGAGAGAGTCTGATGACTTCCTGGGTCAGACCATCATTGAGGTCCGAACACTGAGTGGAGAGATGGACGTTTGGTACAACTTAGGTATGTAGAGCTGAAAAATGTATGCATTAGTAAAACTATTGGAAAAAACTACAAAAAATAGTCAAAGTTTGAATCAAAGGCTAACAACACTGTCAATCCACAACCTTAAGATGATGTATTAAAGACTAAGGATCAAGAAAACAAAAAAGATTTTTTTTTTTAAGTTGTTTTATATTATTCACTCACCTGTCAATTTCCTTTACTAATTCCTCAGCAAGTCAGCTCCTGCAAAGACCTAATAATTCACATTAACTTTAATCAGGGAATAAAAACATACAATGATATATTTTTATTAAAAAGTGAGGTCAAATTTGATCAAACAAATTCAAACCACATTTATTTATTAAGTATGATAAAAGCAACAAAGTTGGCAAAAATGTTGTCTACTGACAGCCATAATTCAAAATTAATAAAATAACTCTGATCTTTGGTTTTGTGTTGCATTGGAACTGTTTCTGCTTGTTTACATTACTCACTAGTAAAGCAGGTGGAGAAGCTGCTCTCTCCGGCTGTCAAATTAGATGCAGATTTCTTTCTCAGATGGCTCTGAATGATGCATGGCTTTAGATTAACTGTGTGTGTTTGTGTTTCTGTATGTTATCACTTGCAGAGAAGAGAACTGACAAGTCAGCAGTGTCTGGTGCCATCCGTCTTCAGATCAGTGTAGAGATCGAAGGAGAGGAGAAGGTTGCTCCATACCATGTGCAGTACACATGCCTTCATGAGGTAAGAACTATTAGGGATGTTAATAATTTAATTTAAAGCATCCATTTGAATTCATCGCTAATTTTTTTAAGGAAATATGCCAGACGGTTTTCACTTTGGCTTTACCACTTTGTTAAGACCAGGGGCCGGCAACCCGCGGCTCCAGAGCCACATGCGGCTCTTTATTGCCCCCCTTAGAACTGTTCAAAAATGTATGAAAATATATGGATTATTTTTTGTTTGTTTGCTTGTTTTAATATGGTATGCAGTGGGTCAAACAAACACTAATTTTGTTTTTCCATGCTGTAAAAATTTGTATAATAATTTGTTATTATAAAAAAATTATATAAAAATAATTTTAAACTTGAAAATTTCTCTCAACTAAGATTTGCGTCATAGCCTGCAACACACATTTCAGTGCGGTGCGGTTCCAGGCAGGTGGCTTTTATGGACAAACCAACAGATGTGTTTCAGGCCATAGATCCTAGAGGGAAAAAAGAAAGATAGCTGCTGAGAACAGAGGATTCAAAAAAGAATAGACTGAATCATTTGCTCTTATTACTAATTCAGAAGGATTGCCTGCATGTTTGCTTTATAATGAGAAGTTGTCGAGATATAAAAAGTGTCATTTGGAAAGGGATTTCCAGGGAAGGCTTGCTAAATTTGCAGACCGCCAATTGGGTGTGAGACAAAAGTGTGATTGTGGAACTTCTTCATAAATAAGAGGAGCGCAAAGATAGATTTAAGAAGTATATTGCAAAACTTAACTCCACTACTGCTGCTAGTTTTGTTGCAAACATGGATAACCGTCCACAGATCGAACAGGTAGCGCTCTGATGCAGGGATGTGAACTTTCTTTCATTTTTTTCCCCAAATCCTAAAAATAAAAATATGATTTGTTTATTGTTTTGTTTTTTTAATAATTTAATCACTGCAACAAAACCTAATACATTAATATTGTAATGGAATTGAAACTTAAAGCACCAAATATTGTACAGCAGACTAGTTACATGATTTGACATTTGCTCCAGGATAAACATTTAGTCATGTATGCTTTTTATGTATGTAAGCACATGTAGTCCTTTTCATAGTGAGCTAATACACTTATAGTAGTACAATGGAGTGGTTATGTGGGCTTGCTTAGTGGAAGAGTGGGTAGCACTGCTGCCTTGCAGCAAGAAGGTTCTGGGTGAGATTTCCGACTTGGGTTCTTTCTGAATGGAGTTTGCATGTTCTTCCTGAGCATGCATGGGTTTTCTCAAGGGCCTCCCACAGTCCAAAAACATGACTGTTAGGTTCATTGATTTTTCTAAATTTTCCTGAGGTGTGACTGTGTGTGTTTGTCTCTGTGTTGCCCTGCGATAGATTCTCTGGTTCTGTGACATCTGATCATCTTTTGAAATAGATTCTCTCAGTCTGCAGCAGCCCTTCACTCCCAAGCAGAGCTTTGTTTACCAATGGCATGATGGGCAATATGAAATGGAAGCTATTTGGTTTAAAGAAACATAAAAACAGCCTTTTTTGAATTCACAGTGTATTATATTAAGAGCTCATATTAACCTTCTAATTTTAGCACATTTTCCAACAATGATGCTTTTATTGAAAGAATAAATTTGCAGTCTCAGACAGAAGGATGTTGTTTTTAGGCTCATAGTAATAATTTAAACTGAGTTTTTTCTAGTTTGATCTAAGTGAGGCTGCTTACCGGTAATTGCAAAGCTGATAACAGCTTTTTGTGGTAGCAAGGAGGTCCTGGCTCTTTTTAGAGATTTAAATCTCTCTGTGCATGCATGAATTTTAACCAAGTTTAGAGATTTGGAAAAATCCTTTCAAAAGATTAAGTCATCAGGTTTGTGGTGTTAGGAATCACTGTCCTGGTGGAGCAGCCAAATTTCTGCACCTAATTCACTAAAATGTACTACGGGTAGGGGCACAACTACATATTTTTGAGGTGGATGTGAACACATCATCAACATTCTCTGTAACGGAAATATGAAATCTTAACAGCCTGGACTCCATGTCAGAGTTTTAACATTTATGAAAGTATGTCTTGATGAGCTTCAGCTTGCTAAATGATCTTTCTGCAGTTGCAACTGTCAGAGGCATGGTTAAAATACTCCAAGGGCTACTTTCAAATGTGGAAATACCAAGGTTCTCTTGAATGAGGAAATTTAAGTTTTCTAGAGCCTTGTAACCCTTCAGTAGTTGGCTTGCTGGGTATATTTCTTGAATGATATCTATTGAAAAAACTCAATGAATGAATATAGTTATTATAAAAAAATTTCTAGAGGGGCCCCTCCAGTGTAGCGCCCCTATGCGTCGCATACACTGCATACCCACTTTTTGCGCCACTGACTATGGGTTCAAACTGCTGTGTCTTGGAATAAACTTAAACAAGTCCTCATGGACTGGGCTGTAAATTTTATTCTTCTCTAAGATTACTTTTTGCATTTAATTCCTGTAATGTAGATAAACTAAATTAAGACAAAAACCATAAGTTAATAACCAAATGTACTGTCCACTTGAAGGTCAAGTTAAGAGAAATATGTAGAAATAAAGAGATTGTTTCTGCTAACTAAAAAAAAATGAATCATCAAAGATACTTTTATTACTTAATCAAAGCAACCAGATTAAATGTGTTTTTCTAAATGAAAAAGTAAATAGATATGCTAGAAAAGTGAATCACTTCAGCGCAGTAAGGTGGCCTTTCCAAAGATTTCCATAGTACATCACAGTATGTAGCTCCCTTTATGTATGCTGCCAGGTTTAACTCTAATTCTTAGGTTTTTCTTCATCTTTTTTTATTATCTTTCTGCATTCAGAACATGTTTCACTTCTCAACCGATGTCGAGGGAGGCGGAATGGTGAAGATCCCGACAGCTCAAGGAGACGATGCCTGGAAGGTCTACTTTGATGAAGTTCAGCAGGAAATTGTCGACGAGTTCGCCATGCGTTACGGCGTGGAGTCCATCTACCAAGCCATGACGTGAGCTCAGCTGCTGAATAAGTTTGCTCTGGATGAAATTCACCTATTGGGCGGGGATTTTAGCTAATTGTGGGTGAATTAAATCAGGAAGTGCTTCATATTACTCTGCCTCTGAGCAGCATTGTTTGGCGCTGTGTGTATGAGGGGTCAGCAAGGTTTTTATGAACTATAAACAGAATGCAAATCAGTTTATCTCATGTAATGAGAATATATGACCTGCCACCTGCAAGTTTTCCCCAATGTGTGATCAGATGGAGAGAAAGACTTTGTGAGCTTATATAACCACACAAAACAAATGTAAGCCAATAGAATTTCATCAATAATACTAAAATTAGATCATTTAGGGCCAAGCAGAAAATGACCAGACTTTTAACCCAGTGGAAAAGAGGCTGTAGAAAAAAGAACACTGCTGCTGCTGAATCAAATCTGGGATTGTAATACAGACGTTTAATTAAAAGATCACAGGAAAGAGGAGACTCATTTGGAAAATTGAACTTCAAACATTGTTCTATGCATAGTCTGAAATGAGAAGCTGAGATTTTTAACTAAAATAAGGGTTTTTTTTTTGCTCATACTTAGGTTGTTAAATTGAACATCCTAACTTCTACATACTGATACATCAAACAGGATCATACATTTGATAGCAGTGCTGAACACTTTATTATGCGCACCATGATAGTACCAGTTGGGGCCTCTTCAAATTTCAGAATTGCCATAATTCTTCATGCCGTCAGAGGTGGCACTATTTAAACATTTGTTTTACCCAAGTAAAAGTGAAAATTAGTCATCCAAAAAATTACTCAAGTGAGATTAAAAATGTATTTTGTAAAAAGGTTTCTAAAGTACTAAGTAATTATTGGATCATATTGTCTGATTTAATGTTTAGAAAAGATTTTGTTAGAAAAACTTTATGTGAAAGACTAAAATAAACATAATATTTTTGGAGTTGGTAAATTACTTCCACTGACAATACCTACTATTTACTATATATTACTTAATCTCTGTATAGCTCCCAGTGGACATAGTAGCCAGAAACATTACCAAAGTAGGAATAGCGTTATTTTAAATATGACTTGAGTAAACGTATAAAGTACATTGATGTAAATCCTACTCCTAGAAATATATATATATTTTTTAATGTTACTTAAGTAAATGTTATTAGTTAAGATACAACTCTGCATGCCTTAGTTTCAACAACATTCTGCACAGATTTCAGTCTATTTTGTAATGATATCATTGACCAGTTTGCAGAGATTTTTCTGGCTACCATCTGTGCTTGGACTTTACTTTTACACATCATCCTAAAGTTCTGGTGACTGTAGATGAATTGGAATAATAATGAACTCACTATGATGTTTAAAGAAGCACATTGAGATGGTTGAAGTTTTTAATAGTGTTTGTTAACCTGTGAGGAGTTGCATCGGCAAATCATAACTATTAAAAAAGGTTTGATGGACCCTTTAATGCTGTTTAAAGCCATTTCTGTTCCTAATGTCTAATGTTGAGACGCATTGGAGAAGGCATGTTTTTCTAAGCCAGCATTGTGTACTGTAATTTTTGTGAATTGTACCTCATATTTTTTGTTCTTATGCGCTTATGCTAACTGCTGTGTGTTCAGAGGTGGTTTTCTTAAATCCATGATTATAAAGATAGGTTATTTGGCTGCTGCCTTTCTATTATCTTAAACCAGTCAGCCCAAACAACTAGAGATGTTCTTCCGAGCAATTGACTCTCACTTCATTAAATATCTTTTGGGTGTGCTTCGGTGGCGCATTGGTTAGCACACATGACCCTTGTAATGAGGTGGAGTCCTCGACCTGGGTTCCAAATACGACCTGTGGTCCTTTGCCTCTCCCCCTCTCTTATACCTTATACCCTAGGGTGACCAAACGTCCGTATTTCCCGGGACATATCCGTATTTCACGTCCTGTCCCGGGCGTCCCGGGTTTTTTTTAGAAAGTGAGGAAATGTCCTGATTTTTCAAATTACCTTAATTGGACCATTAAATTTACAGGCACTAGGGCACTGCGCACGACGCTGCGTGTGACGTAATCCCTGAGCCGCTTCAGTGCGGGCAGCCCTGTTCTTAATAAGAGGCTCTGTTCGAAAACCTGGGCTGCATCCTCCAAGGACGCGGTCTACCTAGACTGGATCCTTCGAAGTCCTTGACAATAAGGAGGCCAGAAGAGTTTTGGCTGTAAATTCGAACAGGTCCACCCTTAGGCGGGTTTTACCTGCCGTATGCTCTGTTGCTTAGCAACCGTGAAAGTTGACACACAAAGCAGGAAAAGAATGAATACCGAGGTTTTCAAAACTGTTTGTTTATTTATTTATTTTTTAAAAAGTTAAAGTGAACAAAGACTACACTCACAAGAATCCAGAGTGGAATAAAGATTCCAGCCACCGGGAGCAGGAACAAATAAAATCAAATGTAATGATAGAAACCTTAGTCAGTTAAATAACGTGCTGCTGTCATTCTGCACATCTCTGATGTTGCTGCTATTTTCAAATATCCATCACTGTAAAAATGTCCATAGCTGCATATTGGTTATTAATTCTCCAGTTTTATATTGATAAAACACTTTACAGAATTGTATTTTTTATATTTTAACTCTTCCCTATTATGTTATTCTTATACATTTTCTAAGGTCCACATTTGTGTGACCATTTTTAATAATCTTTCTGCTGCTGTAAATTTGCTCTTTGTGGAACAATAAAGGGATTTTCTATTCTATAAAAGGGTTAGAAATATATAAGTAAATCTAAACAATGTATCTGCAAAATATATCTACAAAATCTCTAATATTCAACAACAAAAAATACTTAGTTAAGCATATTGTGCAAAACAGCAATAAAAAAATTTAATAGTTCCCACTCTGCAGATCTATTAGAATCTGTCCTTAAATTACAGCCAAACCCATTTACACAGTAACAGATTAAAAGCTTTAGATAAACAAAACATTACCGCCACATATCTACCTCTATAACCATTAAAACAACTATTTTCATTCATTTCAGACGGAACTATTCACAGAGTTGTATTATATTAAACTGAACTTCCAATTTTCACCACTGTTCGGCGCAAAGTAACATTTCCTCTGATCACGGAGCAAATCCCGATGATGAGACATTATTTCTTTCGTTGTACTATTTATTCATTACAGGAATTGTTAAGCATTTTTAATGAATGCATTTTGAATAAAATTATCGTTTGTTATTGGAGTTATTGCTGTTGACTTTTACTGAAAAGCATTTTTAATAAATCAACTGTAAATATAATGTTATTGTAGGATTACGTAGGCCTATGTTAAGTGAGTGCATGGGAACAAAGATCCCAAACCCGTACTAACCCGGACTAAGGTGTGAATTGAGTTTAGGTTAGGTTTAGGGATAGGTATGTGAGGGTAATGGTTAGGGTTAGGGCAAGGGTCATGGTTAGGCCATATAAATTAGTGGGAAATGAATGGAAGTCAATGGAAGGTCCCCACAAGGATATTGTGACACAACGTGTGTGTGGGTGTGTGTGTGTGTGTGTGTGTGTGTGTGTGTGTGTGTGTGTGTGTGTGTGTGTGTGTGTGTGTGTGTGTGTGTGTGTGTGTGTGTGTGTGTGTGTGTGTGTGTGTGTGTGTGTGTGTGTGTGTGTGTGTGGGTGGGTGGGTTGGTGGTTGTGAACCTAATTAAAATGCGGAATTCTATGATGTCATCAGGGTCTATTAAAGCATGATGACATCACAGTCTAGTGGCAGAATTCTTTAGAAGCCAGTCAGAATAGGTCATTGTATCACAAAGGCTTTGCAGTTCCAAGGTACAGACCTTTTCACGTGCAGATTTTTTTCGCAGCTTAAAGCAACTTTCAGCTTTGTTTTAAAACACTGTTGAACATTTACATCAAGTTCTGAGTTCAGTTCTTATTGCTTTGCGAAAAAAAGTGCTTATCTTAGTATTTAAACAATTGTACAATGACATCCAACCAGACTATGGAGATCCAGAAGGAGAATCTTTCAGCAAGTCAAACCTCAGAAAGCATCAAAGAATTTACTTTTCCTGCTTCTGAGCCACAGACCCCGAGTGATCAAATGGTTTCACAGCAGGTCACCGATAAACAAGGGGAGCAAAAGCCATCTATTAGGCGCAACAAAAAGAAAAAAGTACCATTCAAAGTTTGGATAGATACATACGAACTTAAAGTACAAAGTCTTTGTGGGGAAAAAGTTGAAAAGGAAGATGTTTCAACGTTGGGAAAAACTCAAGTGGAGGCTTCAACAAAAGAAAATATGAACACCTCTCCTCCACCTGTCACCGAAAAAGAAGCCAGCGAGATGTTCAACATTAATCTTGAGCTAAGTAAGAAACTCAAACACCAGGAGCAGCCTGTCTCAGAACAAAGACACCTGCAGAAGCAAATGGTTTCCAACGAAACTCAGACAGATTTACAGGAAAGCCCAAAGCTGAAATCAGTCCATTATCAAGATGTTTTAACACAAAGTGAGACAGATGTACTGGAAATCATTTTTGAATCACCTGTCCATCAGATGATTTCAACACAAACAGGAACAGATGTATTGGTAAATTGTGAAAAGGAAGAGGTCTCGGAAACACAACACAGTAGGGATCAGCAATGGACCAGTCTAGCTAAACAGTCTGAAAGTGAGATCAGAAAAGAAGCATTATTTGAAGGGGAAAACGTACAAGAAACCTCCTCTGACCAAAAACCAATGACAATCAAAAAGCAACTGAGGAAAATGTTGAACAGCAACAAGTTTTAACACTGCAAATAGTTGAGGTCCAGACAGATTCCTCAAGAAATGATAATTCTACAAATGAAACCATGATTTCTGAACCACAGCTGGTCACTCAAGAAAAAGGAGTCTCTAAAACACAAAAAAATCAGGTCCAAAAGAGGGACAAGAAAAAGCAACCTAAGATGGCCAAACGTAAGTACAGGAAAAAAGCAGCATTGCTGAGAAAGGCAGCCGCCCAGCAAGAAACCGTCAATGACC